GTGTGTGTGTGTGTGTGTGTGAGAGAGAGAGAGAGAGAGAGAGAGAGAGAGAGAGAGAGAGGTGGCCTGCTACAACGGCCCACCTTAGCCTTACTCCAGTGCTGTAATGGACAATTGTCTGTGGGTGTAGTCAACACCAGTGTAGCATGGTCTCTTCAAGATAATACTCGAATTTGACTCTTTAGATCATACTTGATCTTCCGCTCAGTTGCCCTACGAGCCTCTTGGCTACTATTCTGTCAACATGAAATATCCGGAAATCCATACGGTGAAAGATTGCAGAGCATTCCGATTACCCATCCGTTGTTGGAGGCTTCTACTGCCTGCAAGTGTGGATGGAGCGCAAGGCACCATCTTTGATGCATGGAATACTGTCAACTTTTTTTATGGTGCGTCTTCAACTGATGAGGAAAGGCAATAAGATGCGAGTGTCTGCTGGGATTTTACCCAATAACATGATGTGAAGCGCATGGCAACGAGACGCCCGAGAGATGCCTTCTTCTGATGCAAACTCGCCCATAATCACCCAAGCAATATCTCCCTCCTGAGTTCAGAAGGATGGTGCATCTTGCTGGCTGCTCTGAAATTGCCCACGGAGCGTTCTGCATGCCTGTTGAAGTTCTTTTTGCTAGTGGACTGTGAACTCCTGCGTTCCAGTATTACATTTGGGTCACAGATTGGACTAGAACGTCAACAGACATGTGAGGTCTCCAACCAGAGGGTCTCTGCATTGTAGCAGGATGGAGCTGTTGTATGCCCTTGCTACCTTGGCCAATTGATAAGATTTTGCCCGCAGGTCGATTCGGTCGGATCGAAAGAGCTTTTGTATGCCCTTGCACTTTCCAGGATCCCAATCGATATGATTGGGTTGGAGTGGATGTTGTACGACTTGATGAATGTAAGGATGGTGGTCAGAGCTCATGTTCAACATGTGTTAACGAACTGGATAAGATTTTGCCGACCTCGCTTGTGAAGCAGTAGACACTTAACTCAACTGCCCAGAGATTTGCAAATAGCTTGGCAAATTCCTTCGTCGATGCGCTCTTCCTCATGAGAACTAACCTCATGAACTTGCTGAAGCGTGCACTATGACAACCACTGAATCATCCCTCTCTCTGGTTTGTCCCGGGCGGTCCTCCCATAAAGTCCATGGATATGGAGATTCCAGCTCTGTCTGGGATGAGAGGGGGATTTAAGCGACCGTATGGTCTCTGCACCCATCCTTTGGTGCATTGGCAGAACCACAGAACTCCTCACATACTTCACAATGTCGCTTCTCAGCGTTGGGCAGTAGAAGAGTCCAATAGTCGCAGGTGCGTCTTCGTTGGGCCGCAGGTGCATCTTCGTTAGGCCAAATTGACTATGTGCCAAGAATGTCGAGCTGCAGCTGCTTGTCCAAAGGAGCACACAACTGCTGCACTCTGCTCTCAAGAATGAGAAGTGCCCGCTTTGTTGTGTTCCCTGTTCTTGTGCACATTGTATGAGAAGTTCACCGTTTTTGTTTTTTGTGTGATGCATATTGTAACTTGACTTGAACGCGATTTCGCAGGACTACCGTCTTCACCAAAAGGACGCCCGGTCATTATATCTGGATTTGCCATTTGGGGAACTTTGGGCCAATTTTCAGTCCAGATGCAGCAATAATGGCCAAGCGTTCTATTCGGGTGAAGACGGTCGTACGTGGGCTCTCGGGTAAATTGGAGACGATGACCTATCCTGATGAATGCCATTACAATAGACAGGTTATGCTTTCTCCATGTCCTCAGATGTCTGTAATCGGGCCATGTCCTCTCTTTCTGTTTGTCTTTCATACCTACGATGGAAGCACTGGCAGTCTAACAGTATTTGAATGTCTCCGTTCCAACTTGTTTGTTTGTTTTTTTCAGCTGTCTCTTTTTGCGGAGCTTTTCCAGGAGATGCTTCAAAGAAAATTTGGAACGGCCATATACAACTCCTTGGTGGTGAGTGTCACTGAAGTATGTTGGCATTTCTAAGCATCTTCAGTGTGCAAAGACACACCCACATGGTGTACAGCGAATATGAAAACACAGAAAGGGATAGAGAGCCGTTGGGGAGAGGGAGCCGTTCTATTATTGCTGCCGCATGTCACGCCAACATCTATACAGATTTGTTCTGCCTTTTGTTGTGGGACGTGTGTATTTTTTTGATCACTTGGGATAGCCTTCAATGCATGCTGTTTATAAGTCCATGGTATATGGGTGGTCAAGTGCAGTTTTGTTATCTCTATACTTGTTGTGGATGGTGTGTTAGAGTGATCTTCACATGAGCCACATGTGGCGCATGGCACTTACGCGCAAGATATTGTGTTCGTCCGTCAAAGAATGAAAGAAAGAAATCCATGAAATTCCAAGGACACTATATGCGATGTAAAAGGTTATTCGAGAAACTTTTGGCTGGGATGCTGCCTCAAACCTATACTCGTTGAATTTTGTGAGCAAGGTGTTTTTGACTTTTCGACGTTTTCGTTGTTTTCAAAGTTTTCTATTTTCGGTGTGCGTGTTGAACGTGTGGAGCAAACAGTATGATTGTCTCATCCTGTTGGCTAAGGTGAGCAAGTAAGGATCGTGTCTCATATGCTTTTGATTCTTAGATTGCTTTGTCTCTGATGCTCTTCCCAATGGAACTTTTTTGCATGGATCCCGACAGTGTGGAGTGGCGTAGAGTGGAAGGGTCGAGTTCCCGACGGTGTGGAATCGTACGGGACGACAAGGATGAGGAAATGATGTACGCCATGATACCAAAGCTCGAATCATCTTCTTCTATTTTGTTCCAGTGTGTGTAATTTCTTCTCATTTTCCGCACGGATCCACTTACTGCTTCTCTGGTTCCTGTCCCTTTTCCTCTTGGTGAAGGCTTTGCGTGAAGGACTTCGTTACAAGAGAACGGAGGAAAGGAAGCGCACTCGAGACAGGAGGGACGATGGACAACCAGGAGGGGGTAGGAAAAAGACCAAGTTCGACATTGAGCCAATGGATGAGGTTAAAGCTGATGGGAAAACTGATAAGACAGGGAAGGCAGAGAAGGACGACAAGACAGAGAATAGTGGAAAAGCTGACGAGAACCTGGAAGATGTTGGCACCCAAGAGAATGGTTCGGTGGGTGCAGAGAATGCAAAGGAAACAGACAAAATAAAGGATACAGATGTAGAGATGTCAGACACCGCAATGGACCTTCAGAAGGAGGAGGAGAAGAAAAAGGATGAAAAGAAAGAGAGGGAACTCCCACCAAAGGTTAGTCTCAGCTTCTACATAAAGTCATGTTATTTATGGCCATTCCAAACACTCCCGCAGCCAACTCTGAAAAAAAAGACACTGTGGCAAGCTCATGAGAGTAAAAACCATAGTCGCGATCCGGACTTCCGAACAGGTATCCTGGCCGACCAGTGTCCGGTGCCCATAGACATGGTCAGATGCGTGTCTGGATTACAGGGCCTGTCCAGTTTTCACTCCATGGGCTGGCCGGGCAAAGTAAGGGCCTAATTTTTAATCGGCCCTGTCTGCTATCCTCCTCCCTCTTGTTTTCAACTTCTGTCCTCCCCGCATCAGCACCTTTCTACCTCTCCTTTCTTCCCTCTCCCTCCGTACTTCTTCCCCACACCTCCCTCACCCCCTCTCTGCATCACGATCTTGTCTATCCATCCCTTCTGCCCATTGTTTTGAGGAGGTGCTTTTGTCCTTCTTTCCCCCTGAAAAGTAAATATACATATGAATGAGCAGGTACATAAGCCAGAAACCAACGTATATAAACAAAGATATATGTAATCACCACCTCTCTCTCTCTCTCTCTCTCTCTCTCTCTCTCTTTCCCCGGTGTGTGTGTGTGTAGTCTGGAGTAATGAGGTGGTGATTAAGGCATTTTGACAGGATAAGGAAAAAGGATAGTAGTGTGACAAATTTGAAAAACTTGTGTGTGGATGATCTGCAGGTGGAGACCAGGCATGTTGTTGATTATGAGCTCCAAAAGGTATGACATTCATTTCTCAGTACTATCACCAGAGTATGACTTTGCACCTTCCACATTATACCATTGTGAACACAGCTATTGAAAGAGTATATGATGTGCATAAGTGAGGTAAAACGCATGTAGCATACTTTTGGGGATTATAAAGAGTGGTGGTTATCTCAAACCATCCCCTCCAAGCTTCGTCAGGAAAGGGGCAAGTCTGGTAGCTCGGTTGGTTAGAGCTCCACTGTTAGAAGCAAGAGGTTGTGGGTTTGATTCCCGTCCGCCCTCGTCTTCTTGCGCATGCACCCAGTTAATGTCACAGCATTACATCCCACGTACTTGCACCCTAACATAGCGCAGCTGGGAGAAGATTGGGGAGGTTTTGGGGAGCACTGCCGGGTGGGCTATCACCAAGGAGAAAACTAGCCGGATTACTGGATCTTTGGGGGACAGGAGCAGATGTGGGGCCGGGTGGGAGCACTGCTCTACGGGGCCTATGGCCCTGTACCATGAAGGGATCTTTCTAGGAGGGAGGGGTAGATTCAGGGGAGGGGTGTCCTACTCTTGAGGTGCTCAGGGCACTGACAAGGGGCGTAGTTGGAAGGGACTGCTTGGGGAGCACTGCTTTACTGGGCGTCACCAAGGATGGAGGTGAATGTTCCGGGGGAGCAGTGGCATACTGGGGGGTATGTTCTAGTCTGGGGTTGAGCGTTGGAGGGTAGTGGCAAGAGGTATCACCAAGGAGAAAACGCATTGAACTAGTGGATCTTTGGGGGGCAAGAGCAGATGTGGGGCCAGGTGGGAGCACAGCTCTACGGGGCCTACGCCGCTTTACCATGAAGGGATTGTTCTAGGAGGGCAGGAGTAGATTCCGGGTGGGGGGTCCTACTCTGGGATGCCCAGGGTACTGACAAGGGGGGTAGTTGGAAGGGGACCGATTGGGGAGCACTGCTCTACTGGGCGTCACCATGGAGGGAGGCACGGTGGCATACTCAGGGTTATGTCCTAGTCTGGGTGGAGCATGGAGGGTAGTGTGAAGGGGTTGTAGAATGGGTTTGGTCACCCCTACCACTGTGAAGGCATCATCACGGAGGGTGATGGGCGTTCTTGTTTGAGAGTGGGTGCAGCCTTGAGGGAACACAGCTCTACAGGGCTTTGCCAGGGGAAGGGATTGTTCTGGGGCCAGGAGTAGATTGAGGGGGAGGTTGTCCCACTCTGGAGTGATCAGGACATGACTGAGGGGGTAGTTGGGAGGGGACCACTTGGGAGGAGTGGTGGCAGACTAGGGGTTATGTCCTACTCTGGGTCGCATGTAGGAGGGTAGTTGCAAAGTGCTATAGAGGGCTTGGTCCACCCTAGGAGAGCGCCACTCTGTGGTGGGCACCCTTGTACGCCATACCCTGGGTCGTGTGTGGCAGGTTAGTCTCACAGAGTTTAGAAGTGGTCCACCTTATCAACGGGCAAATCAGGAGTTGATAATCAGACAGAGACAGTAACGACAGTTGTTCCGATCTTGGCAGGAGGAGGGGATAACTCGACAGCAACAACAACAACAACACCAACAACAGCAACAGCAGCAACAACAACAACAACAACAACAACAACAACAACAACAACAACAACAACAACAACAACAACAACAACAAC